GAATAAAGAAAGATAAGTAAAAGAAAAACAAAAAAACACTTTACTCGTGACATATAACAATGTACAAATACCTAGTACAGTACATAAATGAATATACGAAGGTGCATATTAGTGATGGCAGTGTAGGTGAATTGTCGAAGTGACTGATAACATCATGATGTGTTATACAGTCTAACTGCAGTTGGAATGAATGATCATTTCATTCATTTCATTTCATCATGTCCATATGTATAAAGTAATTTGTGTATTTGTGTAATATCGGTAAATGTTGGTTATCGGTCATAACACTAATATKTATATCAGATATCAACATGGCCTGAAACTTTCATATTGGTGCATCCCTGTTAGAAATGGTTTAAATGTGAAGGAAAAAGCAGTTTGACTGAATGTAAGTCGATCATTTACAGCCTACAGAGACGCTTCAATAAAAGGTGTTTCAAAGGGCTGCCCTGCTGCAGCAGTTCATTACAGCTGATTTAAAACAAACACACAGGTCTTCAAACTCCGGTGATTCACCTGAACCAGACATTCTTGTTTTTCTTCGGTGTAAGGAGCTTTAGATTGTATTGCTCTGTAAACCTGTTGACTGTTTAAAAAGAAGAAAAATGTGTGCCTTTGTCTGGGCGTCATCGTTCAACTGCAGTTCAACCTTTCGTTTACGCGACTATAGCGCTCGTTCTTTCTGGAAGTAAAGATATCTGAAGCCAGGTCTCAGAGTGGAGGTTAGTGGGAAACCATCGCTGCAGAGGTGTGAAATCACAGGTGCACTCTGCTTGTAGCTGAAGTTAACAGGTTTTCTGTGTTTGAGCAAACCGACGAGCAACAGCTGATAGCAAAGTTCAACTCATTCTTTTCAACATGTAGGAGCGACTCGTCATCATTCCTCTGTTCCCCATTGTAGCTGCTTTGTTTTGAAATAAATGCTTTAATGGAACTACATGTATGCACTGAAAGGTTTATATACTTTTATGTTGGAATGTTTTATAATAAATGTGTAACATTTTACTATTTACTGCTGAGATCAACTATTGCACTGTGCAAAGTTGTAGTTTTTATAAAATATTTAGTTAGTACACATCCTGTCATAAAACAACACACACACATACACGTGGTGGTTTCATATTTCAGCTGTTGAGGACTCCACTGTGTGACGCGACAGTCACACGGTAGGTTAGGGGACATCCCTTGTTGACGTAATCACCATGGGCGCGACTATAGTCAGAAGAAAACTCTGTGAAAAAAGTCGAGGCCTTTAGCAGAGAGATGATCAGAGAAGGGTTGATGCTCTGGACCGGCTCTATACAGAATGTATGCTACTTWGTGTGTATAAAATAAATGTTCTTAACTGTGAACTGGAACAGCTTTCTGCATTTAGTTTGTATTTTCAATTGAACATTCTTACAGTTTCTCATGCTGTCTCTGCCCATAAAGTTCCAACCAGGGACGCCAAATAACTATCATCCGTTTTTTGCACATTTGTCGACGACGACACAAGCCTCATCTTCAAACACTCTCACTCAGCACACAGGATAGTTTCAGTCAAAAGGGGCTGCCTGATAGTTCTTAATTTCCTGAGAACCTGCCTGGCATGGAAACTACAGCAGATCAATGTAAAATCATTTTTTACATTTATTCATCACAAGTTTCCAGAGATCCTTCATATTTAAACAGGGCCCCAGATGAACGGGGTGATCACCAGTGACAAATGTATTCTTCAGCTTTTCACACACACGTTGACGATCGTTTAGTACAAATAATCCCTGCTGCAACTTTAAAAGCGAGTGATTTAGCCTTTACAATCTGGAGCTACACCTTAGTGAAGGTTCACTAAGAATGCAGTTCCAAATGTAAAAGTGTATGAAGAAATACTGTATAGTCTCATTAGAATTTGAATTATTTTTTTTAAGACAGAATTTTTATCCAATGCAATTATGTATAAATATTTTTTTTTCTTCACCAGCAAAATTTTCACCTGCAAAAGTTTAACTGCTGAAATCCGCCTGCAAACGTGTTGATCTTCTGGTGACTCAGAGCAGTCAGCATTAGGTGAGTTTAGCCAATCAAATTACTGTTATTTGTCCACAAATCTGTCCCGGTCAAAGCTCTACACYTTTCTGCAGATGGATTGCTCCAAGTTMAACATCTGTTTTATCTCCATTCATGAGYTTTTGGATGTATGACTGTCATTATAAATGATTACAACAGTCTGTCTCTGGAAGTAGTTTTTTTTTTTGAAGCGGGAGGTTGAAGCTAAGTGTCCGAGTGCTTTCAGCGTAAACAACAAACATGGCCACGAACTTCTGACCAATCACACAGTAATTATGTGGAGGGGGGTGWAAAGTTCTCCTGACAGATTKTGACAAGAAGGAGTGGAAGACTCAAAGCTGTGTATTGAATGACACAATTTTTGTCATGAAACTGCGACAATAAGGGACAATTTCAGCAGTTCTGATGGACCAATCAGAGCAGAGCTACAAAGAAACAACTCAAAAGAAATGATCAGACTTTTAGGATTCTATCARAAATATGCAGAATCAGCTTAAATTACTATTGCAAACAAAACTGTATTTTGATGTCCCAAAATGTGGTTATTTAGTCCCAGGAACTCACACTGAGAAAAGTCATGCTCACTATTAAGAGCTTTATGCTGTCAGTAACTGAATGGATAAAATTGTGTAAAAATTAAAGTCCTTTTTTATTTTCTAAACACAGAGCAGTTTCTTTTCCCACCTTTTTCGTTTTTAAGAAAGCCAGCCACTTCTCCTTCTCTACACTGAGGCTGGGAAACACTTTGGAGTCTCTCAGCTTGATGCCAGAGTGACGCAGGTACAGCAGCACAGCTGAAGCCAGAGGGGAACTGAACAGAGGAAATAAACACAGAGAGGTGAGGAGGAAGGCAAAGAAAGAAAAGGTTTAAAAGCAGAGAGACGAGCTGGTGACTTTAACTTCACTGCAGTAAAGAAAGTGAAGCTTTTACCTTCGGTCTTCTTCATGCTTTGATCTGAAACAGAAAAAGAAACAGAAAACGGTTGTTAATTYCCTTGGCAACAAAATATTCACGGAGATATTCGGTTTAGTTCCTCAAAGATAAATCCACAAGTGGAAGAAACAGAAAGTAGGGCCTGAGTCATGTGATTTCCTGGTTTACACCTGGAGTTAACCTTTGATATGATCACTCCTTTTAGGTAAAAACCGCTTTATTGGATACTAAAACGTTGACCTTATTGTCAGGGAAATCAGTACAGGTTGATGTACTGTGAACCTAAAAATATAACTTTGCCTTTAGAAGAAAAACAGGTTCATGTAAAAGAAGMAACATTATAATTAGTTTAACTGAGAAAACAAACAATGGTTCTCTTTGTTAACCTGAATTTGCCGAACTTTAATTTACAAAAACAAAAACCCAGAGCAGTTTCTGAGTGAGGACTCACAGTATCTCCCAGAGAGCGGTGACCTGTCTGTCCACCACCTGTTTCTCCTTCACAGGGTCTCCATCCAGGAGACGCAGGTCTCCTTCTCCAAACAGAGAGCCCAGACCCATCATCTGCTTGTTTCTGTCGGAGCAAACAAACCAAAGATGAACAGGTCACTACCAGCCTCGAAAAATATTGGTTCTGTCCAAACTGTGAGGTCCTTTAATATTTCATTATTTACTTTTTWAAATCTTTTTAATCTCTGATATAAATTGGAAAAAATAGGAAAAAATGTACAGATGTACAATATTTATGTGTATACTGTGAAGTATAATACGGCCTCCTATTTGTTTTTTGTTTTTTAGCTAAAAAGCATAAAATATCTAATATTCATCATGTACAACGTAGCTCCTAATTTCATTTCAAACTTCAGGATTTTTCAGCCTTTGCAGCATACCCTCTGGTGGTACAACAAAGAATTTTGGAGATACCTACGGTACTTTCTCACGACACCAGTAAAGGCTTGTGGGCGTGTTTGTTAACGTAATTCTGCCTGTCGTTTAGCTGAAACTGGTTCACTTCCAGAGCAAAAGCTGGTTGTTAAATCAGCAAGATGGACAGCTCCGGGAAGCTGCTCGTCTGGTCCTACTGAGCACAAAACGAGAAAATAACGCCCACGTCTTCTTTCCATCTACGTTGCTACAAGTTTTTCCTCCAATTCCTCATCCATTTTTGTTTTGCTTTTATTAACTGCAGTTTGCATTTGCAGCTGCTGTCAGTTCCATCCATCCATCCATCCATCCGTCCGTCCGTCCGTCCGTCCGTCCATCCATCTATCCAACTATCTACCTATTTTCTTGCATTTGTTACCTTTTTAGGGCTGATTCTGCTAGACAAAACTACCTTGTGAAGACCAGTAGTCCTTATGGGGCCCAAAGACCAGYCCTAATAYGGTGGAAMTCAWTTTTTGGGTCTATGGTTCGGTTAAGGACTAAGATGTGAACTGAGTTCAGGTTAGGGTTAGGGTTAAGCTATAAAAATTACTCAAAATGAATGGAAGTCATCGAACAATTCTAATAAGGATAGAAATACACCAGAGTTAGTCATGGAGTTCCTCAGGGTTCAGTGCTTGGACCAATCATCTTCACTTTATTAATACTTCCATTAGGTAAAGTTATCAAACAGCATGGGATAAATTTCCATTGTTATGCTGATGATACTCAGTTATATTCATCCTTGAAATCTGATGAATCCAACCAGTTACTTAAACTACAAGCATGTCTTAAGACATAAAAACATGGATGACTCTTAACTTTCTGCTTCTAAACTCAGATAAGACAGAGGTTGTGGTTTTTAGACCTGAACATCTTAGGGATGAACTTTGCAGCCTTTCACCTCCTCTGGATGGCATTAATCTGGCCTCCAGTTCTAATGTAAAGAACCTTGGTGTTATTTTTGATCAGGACATGTCTTTTAAC